GTCGTACACTATGCTAGTTGAGTTTATCAATTAAACTAACAAGCTTGAAATCACATATAGGTTAATTATATTCTTAACAGTAGTTTTAAAATATTTAAATTACAAAATAACTTACTTTTTAATTTATTTCTGATATTTTATAAAGGTTCTTTTCTACACTAATTTCATAAAAGTATTAAATAGCAGTTTGAAGAATTCTATTTGAATTATTCAATTCAGCTGATTTTTGGCAATATTAATATCAAAATATAGTATCATAAAAGCACGAGCATTATCTTAAATTATTGCCTAAGTTAAGCCAAATTTCAGAACATTGTTGAGCTAGTTGTAAAACAGCGATCTAATAATAAGAAATAAATATTAATAATAAAACTTAAAAGTTGTGACTATTATTGATTCGATAACTTATCATAATCTTTTGTTTTACAGTTTTTATACCTAGCATATTCATTGTTAGTTTCGTGTACCAGAACAATTAACATTCAATGAAATGGCCATAGGTATAAATAACTATCTCTGTACGTAATATACCTTTGTGCCTTTGTAGTTCTATATAAAGCTTTCTCTTGAACAGCAGAGTGATTATTAATAACAGAAAAGAAAGTTTCTTTCTATGTAAAAGTATTAGATGCATCATAAGTTTACTATGAGCTTTCAGACTAAATAACTATCTTTATAAACAATCTTAATTATTTCAATAAGGATAACTTGTTATTGTTCTTAGGTTATCTTCTTCCTACCGTTACTGTGTTGAAAATATCGTTATTATTGAAATTATCATGGTTTAATTTCTGTAAAATCTTGTTAAATTACACACCTGCAAGAGTTTAATTACCATCTTATAATGTTGCTATAGTTTTATTTATTTTACTTTAAGTTAAAAATTTAAAGTAAATAATTTGTATATTACTTACTGACATTATTTGCATCACTCCTAATTAATTTGACTCAATATATTAAGGTCATACAAACTTAATAAATTGGTTTTCATAACATAAAAATTTTAAAAGTGATTTAGCAATCTGACTTTTCAAAAAATTATATATATAAAATATATATAAATTTTTTTGAAAAACTCACACGGATAGTAAAATGACCCAGCCGATTATGAAAACCAATTTATTAAGTTTGTATAGTCTAAATACAAAATTTTATCTAATTTATATAATGATGATAATTAAAATTTGGCTATATACTTAGAACAACTTTCTTTAATATTCTTGACATGAAAAAGTAAAAAAAAACTAAAAATATATAACACTATTATATATATGTAAATGATTCCTAGCTCACTATCAAAAATGGTACTATCACATGACGATGATTCTTACCACTAAAAAATGTTACTGTCATGTGACGATGATCTTCTTAGGTTGACCTGTAGTACAATTAACTTATATGCTGTGTAACAAAAAAATTATAGAATAGAGTTAAAAGGGCTGAGCTCATTTTGGCTTTCTATTAACCAAGAGTGCATGAGTATTGTGCATGAAACAGTTTTTTCGCAAATATTAGCCCTATTACTAGTAATTGTAAAACCAGCTTTTGAGAATGCTTTTTCACTAGAAACAGATGAGGGTTTAATACTTAGAAAGTCATGAGCCATTTTGCTAAGTATTGAGAATCTTGATGACAATGATTCCCAGAGTCTTATCTTATTATTTTTTTCTATTTCATTACTATTATCTGAGTCTTCAGGAAGTTCACTTTCATACAGTTCTAACTCAAATTCTATTGTATCTATTTGTTTTTGCCTTTTTGCAGTTCTTCTTTTAGGAAATACAGACGTAGGATTATCATTGTTATTATTATTATCAACTTCAATATAATTTGAAGAACTTGCGCTGAAATATTTTGCTCCATATGTAATAAGTTTTTTGCGAATATCATTGACAGCCATTTCTGCATCATGATTATTATAACCACTAACTTCAATTAGTGTTGCTTTCAAGTGATCCAACTTATATTGTGGATCGAGAACGTAAGCAATTATAACATGTTTAAGAATAGATTTCCAATATTTTTCAAATTTTTTGGTCATTAAATTATTATTAATATTATTATCCCTAAATTTAGTTAA